AGAAATCTCAGAAGATCCAGGAATTCCACTGCTGGGTATTTATCCAAAGAAGATGAAACATTAACCTGAAAAAATATCTGCACCCTCATGTTCACTGCAACATTATTTACAATAATCGTGACATGGAAATAACCTAAGTGTTCACTGATGGTTAAATGGATAAAGAATTGTGTGAGTGAGTGAGTGAACACAAACACACACACACATACACACACACTATGGAATATTATTTAATGATAAAAAGAGAAGGAAATCCTGGCATTTGTGACAACATGATTGGACCCTGAAGGCATTATGCTAAGTGAAATAAGTTAAAGAAAGATAAATACCATATGATCTCACTTATATGTGGAATCTAAAAAACCTGGATTCATAGAAACAGAACAGATTGGTGGTTGCCAGATGTTGGGGTGGGCAAAATGAGTGAAGATGGTCAAAAGGTATAAACTTCCATTTATAAAGGAAATCATGGGGATGTTAATATACACCATGGTGACTACAGTCAATAATACTGTACTACTGCTAAGACAGCAAAATTCAAAAGTTCTCATCAGAAAAAAAAAAAATTTGTAACTATGTGTAGTGATGAATGTTAACTAGACATATTGTGACTGTTTCTCTCTCTATATATATGGTGTATGTGTGTGCATGTATATATAGTGTATAAACATGTATATAATGTATATGTACTATATATATGTACACACACATACACATATTGAAGCATTGTTGTATACCTATATATAATGTTTTATGTCAATAATATCTTAATTGGAAAAAATGGACTCAAAGCAAGTATCAATTAAAGCCTTGAAGGATATACAAGAAATAAAGATAAAAATAATTAAATTGTAAGCTACCCAATACTTTTGTAATATTTTTACTAAACCAAGTGGCTTCTACTAGTGTTCCTCAGTGGAAGACAGTTTCCCCCCTTATATATTAACCTGCATATGCAAAAACACAAAGCAAATAACAGGCAACCAGTAGACATTTGCCTAACCAGCAACCAGTTCATTTTAATGAAAGCACACTTAACATTTGCCATTTGGATAGTTTACTATTTCAAAAACATTAAAAAAGTGAAACAGGTACCTTTTCAAACAACCAGTAGAATGCTCGATTTTGCCCTCTAGATGCAAATCTACACTCTGTAAATAAACTATACAACCAGCTCACAATGTGGCTCTGACTTGGTTTTTTCCCATCTTATCCCCTATCTCTGCCGTGTCGGTCCTACATCCTGGCCACAGCAAACCTCTGCCTGCTCTCTACAACCACAAGGCCAGGGTCCTTAACCCACTTATCCGCTGCACACTCCTACTCTTCTTCCAAAACCAGTCACCACCTCGTGGGAAGCTTCCAGGGAGAATCAATCCTTGCTGGCGCCTCTTGGAGCACTGTGTTCCTACTTCCATTATCTTGTACATAAGAACAAGTCACTGTATCTTGTACATAAGAACAAGACCATTGTTGAATGCAAGAAAGAGTAAACAAAATAATAAACGTTCAAGCATTCTCTAATATAACCTGGAAATGTATGTGTACATGAGCGCATGCAATCACAATGAACTCAGAAACCAAACAGATTAAATGGTGAGTATGGACTTACAAAAGGACTCTTCATTTTATCAGAAATATCTGCAGTAAGACTTCCTTTAGAAATGAACTCCTGAGGTGCCTGGGTAGCTCAGTCAGTTAAGCGTCCGACTTCGCTCACATCATGATCTCATGGTTCACGGGTTGGAGCCCTGCCTTGGGCTCTGTACTGACAGCTCAGAGCCTGGAGCCTGCTTCAGCTTCTGTGTCTCCCTCTCTCTCTGCCCCTCCCCCACTCATGCTCTGTGTTTCTTTCTCTCAAAAATAAATGTTAAAATTAATTAATTAATTAAATTTTAAAAAATGAACGATTCTTACTGAGTGTAAAATTATCTTAGAAGTTTTTGTTACACAACTTTTCAGAACCAATTTATTATAAACTTAGATGTATTTTTAGCAATAAGACTACCAGGAAATCCAAATAAGTCAAAAACTTGAAGTAAAAAAAAAAACAAAAAACCTCCAATTTAAAAAACGAATTATTAGTAATTAAATATCCAAACACTTAAAAACCTTTGGAATTTGATTTCAGACCTCTACATTTTCTAAAGGAAGTGCTTTTTTCTTCCCCCAGTGTCTTAGTCTACCTTTTCTGCAAATTGCTTTGCAAAATACTTCATTCAATCACTTCTTGGCCAAATTACTTGTGGAAGATTTAAAGCATATCATGCATCAAAGTTAAAACTTAGGAAGTTTTGTTATTATCAGTTATGTCAGAATGTTGAGTGGGATACATGTTTGAAAAATTCAAATACAACAGGGCACAGATCTGATTACCTATATGAAGTCTCTGCCAAAGTTATATCCAAGCTATATACAAAAATTGGGAATAAATGAATTCAAAATCCTAGATAAACTTTCTTCATTTTTGTAATAGCAACAATATTAATAGCCACCATTTACTGAGAGCCTGCTACCTGCCAGACATTTCATGCACATTCTCCCTAATCTACCCAAAAACCCTTAGAAGAAAACTGGACCTCAGAGGTCAAATGGCTGGCCAAGGCTATGCAAGTAATGGAATTCGAATCCAGGTCTGCACAGTTCCAAAGGATAAAACTTAATTCGCTCCTATGCCAACAACGTGTCACATGGACATACTGAAATCAATTTCTACAACTCTCTTTGCTTCTCTGAACTGCTGAAGGATAAATGGTGTGATGTATCTGTCTCTTATCACCTCCCAGCAGTGCAATAACCATCCTTCAACTCATTGCTAAGCCTCCATGCTTGAAGTCTACAGCATGGGAAGTCTATGTTTTTTTGTTTACTGTCCACTTTGATACTTCTGTAGTTAAACTACTCCAAATAGCACACCACAGCAACTTCCTTACCCTGAAGTCTAGATGAACAGCTTTTCAGAGAAGTTTCTGAACTGTATGCTACATAAAACTACCAATTATTTTCCCCTCAACTCTTAGAGGTAACCTCCACACAAAGGTTAAAAAGCCAGAAAATTAAGAGAAGCTTACCTTTTAGGTATTAAATGCTCTGAAACTAGTTTAAAAAATAAAGAAATGGATTAAAAGGGGGCTCTCTAAGTATCTGATTAAATGCCAGATGGTAACATCAATTTCAAGTTTGAATTCCATGCTGGTGAAGGAAAAAAGAATTTCAGTTCAATAAAGATTCTGTTCCACCAGCTCTGCAAAATTTCGCGGCTCATCTGCATTCTCTTCAAGCTTCTTCACTGATGCCACTTGTTTAGAAAGGACCAAGAGCCATGTTTAACATAGAAATTCTTTAATTCTGTTTGGTATAGATGTATGTGGCAACTTATTCCGACATCAAAGTAATTAGCATTAAAGATCAAAGTCTACTTGCATGAATCCAGAATACAAACTTGTTTGGATTCTATGTCATGGAACCACAGAAAGAATCCAGTAAGTCAACTTTCACTGAATTTATTTATGCCTGTCATTTCCTTTAGGGCAAATTCATTTTACAGGCTGCTGGCAAAATAAGAGATTCAAAATTGGTTTTTATTGATTAACTCTTTAAGGAGCAGCCATGGAGCTGCAGCTAATTCAACCCTGTTGCCAGTTCAAAAAAGAACTTAATTACTTTAAGCCAAGGCATTTATAAAATCAACTGGCAGGAAAGAGAGATTAACTGCTATTATGATGTTGCTCCTGAAGCCAGGAACTAGAAAATTCGGCTGAATTATGATAATTAGAATACCTCAAAAGAAGAGAAAAGCTACCAGCTTTTGTTCTTTACTCACCTTGCAACAAAGTTTTACTTTCTTTTGTTTCCCACTTACCCTCTTGTGCTACAATTGTTTCATTGTTAATAGGAAGGAAATGCTGAGACTTTAGAGACGGGCTGCATGTGTTCACAGCATTACAGTATCTCAGGGATGGCAGGGGATTCCAAAGGCCATGTAATGCCACTAACTAGCCAAGGAAAGTGATCCTTTTACCACCATATCCCTGCAAAGCAGACAAAGGATGGAACCTTTTCTACCTATTACAGTAGCCCACTCCATCTTTACATGACTCTCTTAGAGAATTTGTACTCCATGAATTGAAGTCTGTTTCACTATGACTTCTACCTTCTTGTGTCCCTCAAAGTCATGGAAAACAAATCCAACCCTTTTCTCATTAAGAAATCCTTTGAATATCTCTAAAGACAGTGACTCTTTCCAGCTATCTCCATTACTTCAAATGTTCCTAACAGAAAATGCTATTGAAGGGGGGAAAAAAAAAAAAGAAGAAGAAAATGCTATTGAGTCCCGTGTCTATGTGTGAGGCAAGCTACAAAAAAAGAAAAAAAAAATATGTATACCTAAAATTATTTTAATTTTTAAAAATACTATTTAGTACTTACACTAAAACTCAACAAATCCAATCAGACACAAGACTATCCTTAATACTATTTAAATAGTTAATTGTCCTTAATTGTCCCTAATGTATGTCCCAGAGAAATGCTCATATGAAAGCCTATGTGTTAACTACAATTTTAAATAAATATTTAAAATACCTTTCTAAAAAGTTTGGGGTTTCGTTACGCAGTTTATCTGAAGAGGAGGATGCATTATAAATTCTCAAGTTACCCTTCCATAACTTTGATAAGTTTCAGCCAAAGTCAAATAAAAGAAAAAAGGTAAAAAAAATTTTTTTTGAATTTTCCAACCAAAGTCCACAACTGAATTTTAAAGGTATTTAGTCATCTGACTTCTGTCAGGTCCTGAGATGGACTGCAGAGTCAGTTTCAAGGTCCTCACTTTCAATGTCAGTAGAAGTTATTTTTAACATTTCATACATCCTTAGTTTATCTACTAGTTCATTAAAACTTCAGCTGAGTACTTGCCTCAGACTGTTTTGAAAGGTTAACATCATCTAAATTATAAAACAAATTACCCTGACAAAATTATTAAACATTCACACACAATCACTTACCCAAGATTCATGATATAAAACTGTTAGCAGATACATTGCATAATCGTAATTCTGTCTCTTTAAAGGGCACCTTTAAAAGAAAGAGAGGGAGGAAGTAAAAGTTTTAAAAATTCAGTACATAATAATGATTATTTGCAAAATATACAAATACTAAATATAAAGGATAACTTATACTCAGGTATTCCTTATCTTTAGGGAATATCTGACCTTTAGGAAAATTCTGTTCTTGGAATAAAAATAGTCCATGTCGGTCATTACCTAAGGTTATTGAAAACTAATGTTATTTTGATTTATTTTTATATGTATTTATTTTTATTTCTCTTTGCTTTCATCATTAATGGAGTTATTTGTATCTGGTAATAGCTTTACACTATTTGTAATATGATTGGGTCCACTCTAAGTGCCCTTCACAACATCAGGGCTAAGAGTCAGCTGGACGGCGTGAGCACATCTACGGAGTTCATTTTAAAAATAGAGGCAGACCGATGACAGATGCTAATCTAAATGTTCATCTTGATTTCTCCAGAGCCAATTTTTAAAAAAATGACCTATCCAATGTTGTATTGCTGTTATTGCACTTAAATTGGAATTAATAACCTAATGTTAGGTAAATCTACATAAATGTAAGATGGCAAGTTTAGCTTTTAGATTATTAAAGTAACATAGAAAAGAAAACCATTACTTCCAATTTTTTTAAATATAAAATAAAATCATCATATGAAAAGTGACTTTAATGGTATTCTCTTATTGTATACTTTGGTTTAATAGTCCTCTAAAGAGTCGTTACCACAAAACATATACACACACTGACATACTTGTTAACTCAGGGGAAAAAATTACCAGATACTTATGGAATTTCAAAGAATAACACTTTAAAGGTATTTTTAATTGCATAAGCCAAAAACTCAATATTATTTTACATTTTCTAAAGACAGTAAAGAAGAATATTACTAGTACATTTGAAATCTGTTCCCCCCATATGGTAATAATGTGAGAGCAGGTCTGGCCAGCCCACACTGTCGCCGTCACTTGTGCATGGCATGCTACTTCTCCCACCATAAAGAAGCAGGAGAGAAAACCTAACTGATATCAACACCTTAAAATGCTATGAAACTGGAATAAGAAGTGAGAGAAGATATCTGTCCACTTGTTTTTCTCTAAAGGCAGGTCTTTAGATTTGGGCATAATTTAGAAATAGTCAAATAGAAGACAGAAATTAAACCACCCTTTTATAAAAACATACCAACAAGCCTTCACCTCAAATGACCTATGACCTAATTTATAAATTCACATGAGGTAAACTTAATACATAAATTTACTGAAATTCTCCTTATGTACAAGACTGCCTAGGTAAATTAAATTTCCATATTTAATATTTTAAATTTTGAATTATAAGATCTTAGACTTTGTAAAAACCGTTTAAGCCTAAATCATTAGCAGGTCATACTTTTGCTTTCTTCTGCCATCTTCACTGAGTCTTATACACATGGCTATATCAAAATCAAGATTGAAAAGTAACAATAATTTAACGAGGCAGTTAGGCAAGCCTCTCCACGTCCCTAAAGAGGACGGCAACAATAGGTTAGTGTGAAGACATTACACACATGAATTAGACAACTTCTTTGACCCAACACATTAATATAAGTTGACATAAAAGGCTACCTTGATTTTCAGTGTCATTTCTTAAGTAAAGGACTGCTGGGGGATTGGAAGACCATAAACCCACGTGACCAACGTGCTGACTCTTCTTTCTGTACCTGTCTGTCCTGATGGAAAGCACATCTGTGGTCTTGCAGTATCGCTCTCCCACAAGTTTAATAAGTTTCTTCTTTGCATGATCATCTAAATTGAGACTGGAAAGTTTTACCTTAAAAATACAAGAGAAAGGTATTTGAAAAAAGTTGTTTCATAAAAACAGTAGCAATATTATTTATATTAATGTTAAACCAACCAAAAAGAAACTTTCTCAACCTCGCACTCTTGTCTCTACAGAGTTAGAAACTGCATTCTGAAGCATTAGGCATTAAGAAGCCCAATCTCACTCAAGGAAAAAAAAAGAGAGGGTGAGTAAGCTGGAGTTCTTTGAAAGTTCTGGGCATTAGCACCTTTCCTGAAAGAACCCAATAATAAGTCTCTTAAATAAATGCAATTACAGTTTATTACAGTTTATGAGTAGCACTAACGGAATTAAACTCATTTAGTGTTAGTTAAGCTGGGATATAGGAATAAACGGATAAAACAAAAGGACTTTAAAATATTCCTACCATGCAATTATGAGACCTGTATCACTGCAACTAGTTTAGGGTCACTGATCTTAATAATTCAGCTCAACATTTCTCAAAATGTTAATACGAGTCCCCGAAGCTGCTGAGAATTATTTCTTTAAAGAGGCTATTCCTGTTGAATACATTTAGGAAATGCTGAGTTAAACTGGGTTCTCTATAGAAGGATTTCTTAGAGGAGGTAATACACTAATGAGCATTTTGAAATTTCAAGATGAAAATTTCTCATGTAATGATTCCCAAATTTAATTGACCTCATATCTCATATTCTAGTTTTTTTCCCCTTAATATTCTACTTTTCAAGGGAGGACAGTTCATGGAATTAGTCTTCCTTAAAACATATTTAGGAAACGCTGGACTAAATGAACACACTTTTTAATTTGCAGAGAACTATGGTATGGGCTGAAGATATCTAAGATAGTCTTGACACAGGAAAATAGTTTAGGTACTAGAATACCATTAAATAAGGTAAAACACAGACTGTTTTTCCATGGAGAGCATTAAGAATAAGAAAGAGCCATAGCTGTCTGAAGAAGAAAAAAGCTAAATAAGATTTTAAAATCACATCCACTTCTCTCTGGCTTCAATAACCCCGCACTTCCCTCAAGACCTCATAGGGGCGCCTGGGTGGCTCCTTTGGTTAAGCGTCTGACTTCAGCTCGGGTCACGATCTCACGGTTTGTGGGTTTGAGCCTCGCATCGGGCTCTGTGCTGACAGCTAGCTCAGAGCCTGGAGCCTGTTTCAGATTCTGTATCTCCCTCTCTGACCCTCCCCTGTTTGCACTGTCTCTCTCTCTCAGAAATAAATAAAATATGAAAAAAAAAAAAAAGACCTCATAGCATAAGAGCTTCTTTATTTTTCCATCTTTCCCACTAGGCTGCAAACCCCTTGGTAAGAATGGTATCTGTCCTATTTGTGGCGATGGCCTGGAACTTAAAAAGCATATAACGTGTATTTGCTGACATAACACATAAGTGAAAAAAAAGAACACTGTGAATTCTTATTTGAACTAAGAAAATATAGAAAATAAACAAATAAAAACACACTTTTAAGGAACATATGCAAGAAAAACACTGATTATTAACTATCAACCGGACAGAATGGTTCTCTGGGCACGGGCAGTGCAAATTACCACAGTTCCCAAAAGAATACCTATCAACAACCAGGTTATCAGCTTGATGGATAAAATAGGAACTTTTATGATAATTCTGACTGTTAACCATAAGAGTTATTTATAAGAAAATAATAAAATGATTCTACATTATGATTATACCTATGAAGATATTTGTACATATGTATGCATACAGATACAGTATGACAAAGTTAATCATTTTTATATTAGGTAGTGAGAATGGGACCATTTTTCCCTTTTAAAAATCCCTTCAGGCGGAAATGGTGGGGGAAAGGGAGAGAGGCAAACCATGAGAGACTCTTGAATGCTGACAAAAACTGAGGACTGATGGATGTGGGGGGGAGGGGAGGATGGGCATGAAGGAGGGCACTTTGGGGATGAGCACTGAGTGTTATGTAGAAACTAATTTGACAATAAACTATTAAAAAAAATAAAAATAAAAATAAAAATCCCTTCAATGTTATCATGTTTAACAATAAATTTAAAAATTTACCATTAAAAAAATTTAAGTGTTCTGGCTTTTTATGTAACAAGTAGTCAAAAACATGGCAATCCTGATTATTCTAACTACTTTAAAACTTATGTTAAAACATTAACATTTTAATGTTCAAAAATTATTTAGAGTTTATGCCGGAAACTCACAAATATTTCAGAAAGCTGTGTGGTACACGCACGCCACCTGCTAGCACTTAAAGGCACTGCAAAATCGCAGTCTTTAACCTGGACTAATAGTCAGACTCTGCAGTTGAGTGGCATTGTCAATCTTTTTCCAAAATTCAAAAGAATCCCTGGACTTTTTCTTTTTTCAAGTTGCTACATTTTAAAGAATCAATACTGTACTATTAACATTATCCCAAAAGCCATGTTGATATTTCAAATCATAGGGGATCACGGTTACATGTATGTATTTTCAAATGCCTATATTTAAGAGCTACACAAATTGAAAAATCTCTAATTGTATAAAACATCTTCTCTATTTACATATTCACAGGTATAGTGCAGTTGCAGAACTCTGGTTAACACACAGAGGACAAGAATTGGGTTTGATTTCTAGATTTGCTATTTATTTGCTAAGTGAACTTGAATAAATCATCTGATTTTCCCGTTTCCTCATTTACAAAATAAAAAGGACTTACAAGAATTCTGTCAGGAAATGAATGAGAATAAATAGAAAAAAGCAATTTTAAAGGAAAGTCCTACACAAATACTGAGTTGTTTTGAATTCTGAACTATTTTTATGACTCTTAACAATAATATGACACCGCTTTTCTCTGAATTTAAAAATGTGAGTACCTCTCTATATAATACTTTATAATATCTGATTACCTTCACAATATTGCTTTAAATCATGCTGGAATGCACATGCTCTAGTCCCACTGTTCTGTCTACTTTCCCCCTTGAACTACCTGACACCTTTCAGGACATCAGCACTTGAGCTTCAACTGTCAGTGGGTAGACAGAAAAGAGTCCCCAAGGAAAGACGTGAGTCAGGGAAAGGAGTACAAGGCAGTGATGAAGGGGCACATGGAGGATTAGGACAAAAAGGAGACAGCGGTTGGTGGCCTGATATCATAAGTGGCATCTTGTGTATGTTTCAAATAAAGCGGTGAGATCATTTTTATGTAAAATACATTAAGCAAACTTAGAACTGGTAGGGAACTGGCTGTCTATTCTGGTACTAAAGACGAAGGCCCACAAAAGGTAAAGCAAAATCTAGATTTCCTGACTCACAAAGTTCAACAATGGGTTAGCTGCTACTGTTATCATCATTATTAAAAAGAGGTAATTCTTATTAAGTTATTAAAAATGTATCAGATATTATTACTCCGGAGGTACTTTCTAAACAATTTTATTTTTAGGTAATCTCTACACTCAGTGTGGGGCTTGAACACACAACCCCAAGATTAAGACTCGCATGCTCTACCATCTGGGCCAGCCTAGGTACTTTATATTAACCAATGGAATGATGTCAGCTGAGCAGAATTTTAAGTTTTTTCCCCCTTTTGTTTATCTAGATTTTCTAAAATTTATACAGTAAACGTGTTATTTTGTCCTTTGTGATTTTATGTATTTTCAGTCTCTCTAAATACATAAATATGAAGAAAGGCTGACAAGCTTCATAAATTTATTTCATAACAATGGCCCAATCCTGATACCAAAACTTGGCAAGGAAGAAAGTTACAAATCAAACACTGATGTATCCCTGAAAATTTTCTAGAAATTAAAGTTTGTCTATTTGTTACACTATAGTGTAAAAATGGCTGCAGAGACTGTCAACGTATTTTTGTAGTAAACTTGGAATATTCTGATTTAAAATACAGACTACATGGAGTATAAAACTTATTTTTTGAGGGTCCTGGAAGGCATCTCAAAAAGGTGGGCAGTCATCCTACGGAACAGATGATTCAACATTACATTCGTCAGGGCTCCTCGGAAAAATATCTGATTCTAGGACAAGGATAGGGAATACATAAGATAAGCCTGGGGAATTTTGTGGTACCAAAAAATAAAAAGTATTTTAAAAACAAATGGTGGGGCACAGCAAAGTAACAGAGCTACCAATGGCTAAAGCTGGAACAATCTGAGCATCAAAATACATAAGGCATTACTGGATTATAATCCAAATGCTAAAATAAATAATCCATGAGTCCACACTGATATAAATAAGTGGCTGAATAAATAAATAAGTGGATGAGAAGAAATCTCCTATACAGAAGAATTACCAAAGACTCCTATGGTATTTCTCTCTCAAGGAGTGAAGCATAACGACCAAGCCCAGAAGCTTGGGCTATGCAGAGCGACTTCCATCTGAAGAGCATAGTATGGAAAAGGAAGAAAAAAAAGAGTACTGTTACCATTAGGAAAACTTGCAAACAGTACCTGAGCCAGGTGATCAAGCCTTCATCATTAAAAACGTTGTGTGGGGAGCCTCTACTCTTGCTATGATGTGATGAGAATAGCACTTTACTTGTAAGGTTTTCCTCCCCAAAATACATACCAGTCTAAGCACAAGGAAAACATCAAACATATCTAACATGAAGAACATTCCACAAAATATATAACTGGTACTACTCAAAACTGTCAAGGTCGCCAAAACAAGAAATTCTGAGAAACCACCTCAGGAAAGAGGTGCCTGAGGAAATCTGAAAAAAGTATGAGCTTTAATTAATAATGTATCAATACTGACTCCCTAGTTGTAATAAATCTACTACAGTAATAGAAGATGTTAACAACAGGAGAAATTTGGTGTGAAATACAGGGGAATTCTGTGATCTTTGAAACATTTTTATAAATCTAAAAATTTTAGTTAAAAAAACCCCAAGAAAACAAAACCATCAGATAACTGCCCCGTGACTGCTGTGTGAGAAAGAAATGCCATGTGGATTAAGACTCTTTTACCAGAGGAAACTAACAGTGGTTTCAAATACTAACTTAGAAGTTACTAGAGAAGACACTTGGAACTGCGATGGTAAGTGGAATGTTCCTAATGAGTCAGAGCAGGGACTTACTCTTTCTCCAACACAGATCAGGACAAAGGATCCTAAATAAAATGCTAACAAAGTGCATCCACAGTAAAGTAATAGAATGGCGTACTAAGCAATAATCAGGGTTCAGAAATGCTTCAGTAATTGAAAACCTAACAATTACCACAATTCAAAGGAGAGGTATAGGAATAGGTCACATTATTAACATAATAGAGGCTATTATCTCACATTGAATTACAACTTATACTTAGAAACTAAAGAGCAGAAGGGGCGCCTGGGTGGCTTAGTCGGTTAAGCGTCCGACTTTTGCCTGGGTCATGATCTCGCGGTTCTTGGGTTCAAGCCCCGCGTCGGGCTCTGTGCTGACTGCCGGCTCGGAGCCTGGAGCCTGTTTCAGAGTCTGTGACTCCCTCTCTCTCTGACCTCCCCTGCTCGCGCTGTCTCTCTCTGTCTCTCTCTCTGTCCTAGAAATAAATAAAACATTACAAAAAAAAAAAAAAACTAAAGAGCAGAAGCATACCCATTAAAGTACAGAACAGGATAAGGGACTATGTAAACATTATTTTAGAAATTTCACCTAATGAAAAACACACACACAAAAAAACAAGCTGTAGATATTCAGAAAGGGGAATTAAAACTACTATTGTTTACCATTTAATTCCTTAGAAATCTCTGAAGGAGTGAACTAAAAAGTCACAGCATTCAGATTTTGGTCTCTTATTATGTATCAATGACCACTAAACGGTATTGGAGACACAGGCTGATTCCAGGTCTGAGATAAGGAAAACACAGAGTGAACCTGGGCTATCTTGCGCCAGAATGCAAGGACTGTAACAAAAAGACCTCAGAACCAATTTAAAAGAATTCCCACCAGCCAAAGTTAGGCTATACTTTGTGTGTGTGTGTGTGTTTAATTTTTTACTATTTATTTATTTTTGAGAGACAGACAGTGAGCGGGGAAGGGTCAGAGAGAGAGGGAGACACAGAATCTGAAGCAGGCTCCAGGCTCCAAGCTGTCAGCACAGAACCTGGCATTGGGCTCAAACTCATGAACCAGGAGATCAGGAACAGAGCTGAAGTCGAACACGTAACCAACTGAACCACACAGGCACCCCTAGGCTATACTTTGAACATCAAAAAGAATAATGATTTTACTTGATCAAATGTTACTGAATGCATCCACCTACAGATTCCCTCTTCAAGGGAAAAGCAAAACAGTAACAACAATAAAAATTAACTTCACAACGGGGAAGGCCGGCTGGCTCAGTCAGTAGAGCGTGTGACTTGTGAGTTCAAGTCTTACATTGGGTGTAGAGATTACTAAAAGAATAAATAAAACAACCCCCCGCCCCCCACAAAACACAATTTTGCAATGGAATGATCAGGTTGTTAACAATTTAAACAAGTGATCAGTCTCAGCATACTGAGAATGAGGCCACCAGGCTTTACATGACCTCTCTTATAATACAGTATAAAATACATAACAACATCTATCAATTACTGTTCAAAATACTTAACTGTAATCAGTTCCTTAAATCTAACTTCCAGTTCATATGAAATACAGAAGATAAAGAAATAAGGTAAATGACATCAGAACACATTCAGACAAATTCAGAAAGTACGAAAGGAAACACTATAAAACAAAATACCTTTTTATTTTTTTAAATAGTTACCTTTAACTGTCTTTTTTGAGACAGCGCAAGCAGGGGAGGGGCAGAGAGCAGGGGACACAGGATCCGAAGCAGGTTTTGTGCTGCCAGCAGCAACTCACAAACTGTGAGATCATGATCTGAGCCAAAGTCGGATGCTCAATAGACTGAGCCACCCAGGTGCCTCCAAAATATCTGTCTTTTTAATAAGTCAGTGTGATGAGAGGGCGGGTGGGGATAGGAGGTCCTAGGCTGTTCCAGATTTGAAAGATGTAAGCTGCCAGAGGGATCTCCCCAGGCCTATTTATGAACATCCCCAGGTACAAGTGCAGAACACCGAAATGAAAGCCAAGGACGCTGACACCTATTCATGGGTTCTGCGGCTGCCTCCTGTGATGACCTCTAAGTATCCGAGTCACGTCTCCTGTCAGTGATAATGATAACCCTAGCTGTGGGGCCCTGATTCTCTTTTTGCCAGTGACAATTCTAACCCATACTTTCACCACGAAATCATAAAATTGGGTTGGCAGGATGGTCTCTGAAATAAGAACAGTGATTAATACCCACATCTGTCAGTCTTTAGCAGAAGTTTGTCATATTTTACAAAGAATTAAATTTATCCTCCATTAAAAAAATAAAATAAAAAGATTTAAGTGACATTATAAGCAATCAAACAGGAAAAAGACAAATTACTCAATTAAAAAATGGGTAAAGGATTTGAACAGACATTTCTCCAAAAAGATATACTAATGGTCAATATGTACATGAAAAGACGCTCAACATCATTAGTCATTAGGAAAATGTAAACTCAAACCACAATGAGATACCACTTCATACCCATTAGAAAGACCAACAATAGCAATCATTAATGAGGATGTGGAGAAGCTGGAACCCTCAAATACTGCCGGTGAAACTGTAAAATTGTCCAGCCACTTTGGAAAACAGCTTGGAAGTTCCTCAAAATGTTAAACATATAGTTACCACATGACCTAGCAATTCACTCCGAGGTATATGCCCAAGAGAATTGAAAGCATATATCCACACAAAAACCTGTACGTGGATGTTCACAGCAGCACTGTTCATAACAGCAAAAAAAAAAAAAAAGAAAACCCAAATGTTTACCAATCAATGGATGGATAAATAAAATATGGGATTATTCATAAAATATTTGGCAATAAGAATGAATGAAGAACTAATACATGCTACAACAGATGAACCACTGAACTACTGTAGATGAACTACAACTGAAAACATTACACTAAGGAAAAGAATACATATTGCGGGATTCATTTATATGAAATGTCAAGAATAGGCAAATCCAGACACAAAACACAGATTAATAGTTCATAGGGGTTTGGGGACGGTTAAGAGAAGGGAGAAAGGGGAGTTAACTGATAGTGAATAATGGAGTTTCTTTTTACGGTGATAAAAATTTCTAGAGTTAGGCAGTGGTGATGGATGTACAACTCTGTGAATATACTAAAAACCACTGAATTGTGTATTTAGGAGGATGAATTTTACAGTACGTGAATTATATCTCAATAAAGCTGTTACCAAAATAATCAATACAACATCAAAATGGTCAAATGACCAAAAAAGTAATTTGCAAAGGAATAAATTCTCACTCTTACTAGAATTCAAAACCATACAAACTTAAAATATGAGATATATTTGTTTACTATCAAATGGCTTGGTTGGTAATAACAGTATCTAGTTGTGAGGGTCCAGCAAAATAGGCTTTCTCATAGCCTGCTGGGTTTTTTGTTTGTTTGTTTTTTTGTTCTTGCATTTCCTGCAGGAATTTTACAATCTATAAATAAAAAAAATTTTTACAATATATATCAAAAAACTTCAAAGGTTCTGTATCTTTTGACCTGACAGTTTTCCTCTTGGGAAGTTATCCCCAGAACATAATTAGGAATATACACAAATCCTTATCTCTAAGGATATTCATTACATTTTTCTAATAACGGATATTGTGAGAAAGCCTAAATATCCCCATAATATGGATAACTTAAATTATGGCAGATCTAAGCTATTGAATAATTTGTCTGTACCTCCCACCTCAGTTTCAGAAAAAGGACTGTGTCTGAATTAATCAGCACTTGTACCTCCAGCCTCAAACACTTTCTTGGCACAGAATAGACCCTGATTTACAAGTTATTCTATGCAGCCATTAAAAATAAAGAGTGACAGGGGGTGCCTGAGTGGCTCAGTCAGTGAAGCATCAGACATTTGTGTCAGATCATGATCTCATGGCTTGTGAGTTCAAGCCCCACGTTGGGTTCTGTGCTGACAGCTCAGAGCCTGGGGCCTGCTTTGGATCCTGTGTCTCCCTCTCTCTCTGCCCCTCTCCCACTCGCACTCTCTCTCTCAAAAACAGACAAACAAACAAACAAAAAGAAGTGATAACTTTGTATGGTGACAGATGGGAACTATACTTATCATAGTATTTTGTAATGTATTTAATTATCATTAGGCTGTATACCTAAAAGTAATATTATAACATATATATATCAACTATACTTCAATAAAAAAACTAAAGAATGTTTAATAACTTTGTAAAATTTTTAACTCATATTATTAAATTAAAAAGAGCCAGAGGGGTCCCTGGGTGGCTCAATCAGTTAAGCATCTCACTTCAGCTCAGGTCACAATCTCACAGTTCATGAGTTCAAGCTCCAGGTCAGACTCTGGGCTGACAGCTCAGAGCCTGGAGCCTGCTTTAGATTTTGTGTCTCCCATTCTCTCTGCGCCTACCCCACTCATGCTATCTCTATCTCTCTCTCTCAAAAATAAATGAAGATTTAAAAAAAAAAGATAATCAAAATAATATCATCCTATTAACACATAAAAGTTGTCTGTATATAAACTAAAATGAATTCCAACAGTCAACTGTTGTTATCTATAAGTGGTAGGCAATTTTATTTTGTAACACTATAAAACACTTGCATATTTCCCAAATCTTCTATGATAAATATGTAACAGTTTTACAGTTTTAATATTTTTTTAAAAATATTTCTTACCCTTAAAGTTACTACTCGTGCTTTGGGGTTTCTAATCGATGGTCCTGCTGAAACATAATCAGCTGTGTCAATTTCAATGGGAAAATGCTTCTCACATTTCTCATCACTGTCCAGTGCAGCTGGCCATTCAGTGCAGAAATCTGAGAATTAAAAAAAATTATCTCAAGTAAAGTTTTGCATCTAAATTCTCATTACAATGTATGCTACCAGACAAAACCAAATTATTGAGGGAGAGGACTCTAAGGTTACATAAAATGAAAGAACAGACTGTCCTTTGCACTTCACAAACACATCATCATTCCTCATCCTTTCTCTACTTAGATGAATCCTAATTAGGGAATGTAATTAAGGGAAGGATTTAGGTAGTTCAGGCCTGGTGGTGAGCAGTAAGTTTGGTTAAAGAACTATGACTTGATATAAGTTTATTATAGCTTTGCACATGCCTGTTATGGGACAGTTTAATTCCTCCTCAATAACTAAAAGCAGAGTTCACAGAGCTCAGAGCATTATTGTTTTTGAAAAAAGAAACATTAATAGTAATCCACTCCCAAATGAAAGTTAGTAAGAGTCAACTGAAGGGAAATGAGAGAAGCTCTGAAAAAGCTCTTAGAGGGGAGCCTGGGTGGCTCAGTCGGTTGAGCGTCCAACTTTGGCTCAGGTCATGATCTCACGGTTCATGGGTTCGAGCCCTGCGTTGGGCTCTGTGCTGACAGCTCAGAGCCTAGAAGCCTGCGTTGGATTCTGTGTCTTCCTCTCTGTGTGTCCCTTCCCCACTCATACTCTGTTTCTCTCTGTCTCAATAATAAATAAACATTAAAAATTTTTTAAAAAAAAGCTCTTAGAAGAAACTAAGATATGGTCGACATTCTTTCAGAACCTGAGTTGAATAGGGCCTCAAACTGAAACAGGTACAAATGCCTAAGACATTCTTAGATAGATCCTTAAGAGTAATTCATGTATCCTCGATGTGACTTCTGTGCCAATGGGGCTAAATGCAAAGAGGAAGAGACTTGTCCTCATATTCAGACAAGACAGCTAGCCTAGAGGGGAGATGGGACTGGCTCTAGAACTGGGCGACAAAAGAAAGTTCCAAGCACTGTGAATACGAGAACCACACATCTATCTCCATAGCACAGAGATACACTCGGGCCTCAAATGTAGGGATGGGGACCTAAAAGGAAAAGAGCTCACAGCCTCCTGCAGCTATCTGTATCGAGAGACTCCGTAAGTAGGTAGCTGATTTCATTTTGCCCTATTCCTATAAAGTTAGTGTGGTAGAGGGCTCTCAACTTGAAATAAAAACTTCTGACACTATCAGGTTCCCTTCAATGGAAATTTCACTCATTCTTTTTTTTTTCTTTTTTTTTAAGTTATTCCAAGTGAGAGAGTATGTAAGGGAGGTAGGGTAGAGAGAGAGGGAGAGACAGAATCCCAAGCCAGGCTCCATGCTGCCAAGCACTGAGCCCAACACAGGATGCGATCCCACAAACGGTGAGATCATGACCTGAACCAAGATCAAAAGCCAGATACTTAACTGAGCCACCCAAGAGCCCCACACAACCTCATTCTAAGAGTATCTCGAAGAAATCAGTTTCTTACGTCAAACACATTAGGCCTCAGAGTCTGTGCTTTCTCCAAAAAGCACGACTGTTGAAAGGCTGGTCACAATCACAGGCACACATGGGAACTCTTCCATATGATGATTTAAGGGACAGTAAAAAGTACTTTGTCAATAACATTTCCCAGAGTTAACAATTTTCTTATAGCAGGTACTATATTTAGCTCCCATTTAGGCTTTAATATCAGTCAGCAAAATGTCACTGTGGGTTTCAGAGACTCTCCAAGCTCTGCAACTAAATATATGGTAGCAAATTAAGCATAGCTCACACCACTCCCTAAACACTCTGCTCAAGAGAGAATACCAAGACCCTTTGAGGGGAAAGAAGTAACTCTACAATTAAAAGCATTTTGACATTTAAATAAAATGAAAAGAGCATGATTACCGAAGTTTCATTCCCATCATGGACTCATTCCAATATCCCGCACTCTAAGATGCTACACTGCCAAGCACTTTATAAGAGACTAGTTTGGAGAATTTTATGAGTGCTTGGGTTTGTACTGAGTCCTTTATTTTTTTATAACTTTGACTAAGACATTTCAATAACCAGATGATAATTACAACTTTTAAATTACTGGATTATATGTCTAAAAAACACAGCCAACTGGAAAGTACATAATAGACCCCTATTCATCTGATAGGTAGAGCAATAGACTAGACTTCGGAAGACCTTGGTTTTTACTTAACTTCTGCCACTGATTATTAAAAGTTTTGGTAAATTACCTAACTTTCCTGTGCTTCAGTTTTTCCGCTTGCAAGTTAGATATAAAATCTGAACTGACCTACTTTGAAAGAAAATTGAGAAGAAATATTTAAAAACCCTTTGAGTTATTTGGAAGATACAATCTAAATCTAGAAGCTGGCAAAAATGTAAAGACAAAATTAAAGAAAGATCAAAGCACTTAAATACTTAAAATATAATGCTACTCTTCTGAATGTGCTATATGAATGCCTTTCATTTAAGAATTATGAAGTATTTTAGAAATACTTCGTTAAAAAATCCAGTTTTTAGATTAGAATGCACATTTTAAAATAGTGTTTAAAACAGAGAGAAATGAGATTTATCACGGTGTAATATATGCCTCAACTGGCTTCACAAAGGATCAAAAAGTGATCTATGACTTGTGCCAAATGGAGCACAAATTTGGAACTGTGATCAGTGTGACTCTATCACCAGGCACTAATGAAAACAGAAACCTACAATCTAGCATAGAATGCACCCTAACATCCCAAAAAAGAAGACCACATAAAGAAAGGACATAGGAAAAATTTTCCCTCCCTCATTTCAAGGGTAAAGTCATTATTCCTACTTTTTAAGACTTCTTTATCTCTTCCTTATATTTTTTAATTAAAAGGCTCTTCCAAAAGCTCCAATTTCATCATAATCACGATCACTATATTATTTCTCTTTCCAGCATTATCAGGCTGCCTACGAGGAGTTTTTAGGTTTCATTTTCGCTCCTGAAAAGTCTTAACAAGTGTATTGAGCATTTTTAAATCTCCTCTTTAATTAGCATGGATTTAAGATTTTATCCAAAGGTACTAACTTTTGAATTAAACTACACAACCAATCACTAACAGCTGTGAACCTATAACGATTCAAATGTGCTTATTCTGCCTGTAGTCCAATGCAAACTAGATCAGAAATTAAATCAGAATATGTATATGCTATGAAAACATGCATAAAACTATGAAAAAAAATGTCTTTGCCTTTACCTCTATGCATGCGGTAAGGAGAAAGAATAAGTGAGTGAAATATATTTCTATTTAGAAATCAATAAATATAGTTAAAATAAATATAGTTCAAAATTAAATAAATTTAGAACTGGAGATATAAGCATGTTCTGGTGATTAATTCTATCTTATGTATATACAAATTATGCATAGGATACTATATTATATAACCATATATATAATAATATATTATATATCTCTATAATATATAGAGAGAATATATAATGAACATTACAGAGAAAACATACAGAAAAATAAGTAAATATGCCCCCTCAAGTAATTACCAGACCTAAATAGTGATTAAAGGAACACTTCTGAAATGACAGGCCAGATGGGAAAGAAGAAATATAAGACTACTGCTTTTCATCATCAGCTTTCCTGCTACTTGATGTTACCACATTTATATATTACTTACTAAGTTCTTATTTTAAACAATTTCTTAAAGATAACTCTCTTTGCAAAGTATCTGATTACTGACCTCACTGACTCAGCATCTTTCTACATTATCTTTAGTTTGGATTATACTGATTTGTATTCATTGGCAACACTGCAATACTTTCTTCAGTCTTTTCATGTATGTGCTGCCTATAATGCAACAAAGAGTCCCTAACCTACTTGAGCAAGGACTATGATTTCTGGTTTTATATGTTACTCACAGCCACTTGTAGAGTGGTTTGCAGAAAGAAAAGAAAGGAAGAAAGGCAGGAAAGCAGGAAGGCAGGAAGAAGTCTGCAGATTTGACATCTTCACTGAAAACAACTTGAAAATTTTTCTAAAAAAAGGAGAAACTAGCAATGACTCAGAATATACGTCTATTTAGTATATTAAAAATGAGATTTCTTTTCCATCTTTATTGAGATATAAGTGACATAAAACACTGTGTAAGGTATATGTGTTGATTAGATAACACCTATATATATTCCAAAATGATTATAATCCTAACACTAGCTAATACCTGTATCACGTAATTATCATTTTTGTGCTAAGAACATTTAAGATCTACTCTCTTAGCAACTTTTCATTATATAATACAGTATTAATAACTATAATCACTCTTCTGTACATTAGATCCCCAGAACTTACCATAAAACTGGAAGTCTGTATTCTCTGACCAATGTCTCCCTTTACCCCCTACCTCTCAATCCCTACTATTTTGGAGTTCAGCTTTTTTAGATTTCACATGTAAGTAAAATCATAAACTCACTGTCTTTGTCTTATTTTATTTAGCATAATGCTCTCAAGGTCCATCTATGTTGTCACAAATGGCAGGAAGTCCTTCCTTCTCATGACTAAGTAATATTATACACACACCACTTATTTATCCAATCACCAACCTAGGTTGTTTCTGTTTCTTGGCTGTTGTAAATAATGCTGCAGTGAACATGGGAATGCTGGGATCTCTTCAATCCCATGTTTTCATTTCTTTTGATATTCACCCAGAAGTGTGATTGCTAGATCACACAGTAGTTCTAATTTTAATCTTTAAAGCAAACTCCATACTGTACTCCATAGTGGCTGTATAAATTTACATTCTTAGCCAACAGTAAAAAAGGGTTTTCTCCACATCCTCACCAACACTTATCTTTTGCCTTCTTGATGATAGTCATTTCTAGCAGGTGAGAGGTAATAGCTCCTTGTGGTTTTGACTTGCATTTCCATATTAGTGACATTGAGCATCTCTTCATGTGCCACTGACGATCTATATATAGGTCTTTCTTGGAAAGATGTCTATTCAAGTCCTCTGCCCATTTTTAAATCAAATTATTTGGGCTATTTTGGTGTTATGTCAGTTCTTTATAATTTTCGACATTAACCTTTCAACAGATATATCATTTATAGATATCATCTCCCATTCAGTAGGGTTGCCTTTTCATTTTGTTGATGTTTCCTTCATTGCGCAAAAGCTTTTTATTTTGGTGGTCTCAATAGCTTATTTTATTTACTTTTATTTCCTTTCTTGAGGAGACATATCTAGAAAAATATTGCTAAGGCCAATCCCCAAGACATAACCGCCTATGTTTTCTTTAAGGAATTTTATGGTTTCAGGTCCACATTTACATCTTTAATCCATTGTGATTTAATTTTTGTATTAAATCATAAGAAAGTGGTCCAGTTTCATTCTTTTGCATGTAGTTATCTAGTTTTCCCAGCACCTTTTATTGATGAGACAGTCTTTTCCCCACTGCATAATTCTTGCCTTCAGATGAATGGACCATATAAGCATGGGCTTATTTCTGGGCTCTCTATCCTGTTCCACTGATTTATGTGTCTATTTTTGTGCCTACTATCATACTGTTTTGATTACTACCGCTTGTAGTATATCTTGAAATCTGAGACTGATACCTCCAGCTTTGGTCTTTCTCAAGATTGCTTTGGCTAGTCAGGGTCTATTGTGGTTCCATACAAATTTTAGAATTCTTTGTTCTACTTCTGTGAAAAATGTTGTTGGTATTTTGATAGGGACTGTTGTATGTTTTTGGAAATATATCCGTTTCTTTTAGGTTATCAAATTAGTTGGTAAGTAATTGTTCACAGTAGTCCTTATGATCCTTTATATTTCTGAGATATCAACTGTAATGTCTCCTCTTTCATCTGCAGTTTATTTGAGTCCTCTTTTTTCTTGGTGTGTCTAGTTAAAGGTTTGTGTAAGTTGTTTATCTCATCAAAAAACCAGCTCTTAGTTTCACTGATCTTTTCTCTTGCCTTTTTAGTCTGCACTTCCATTCTAATCTTTACTCCCTTCCTTCTACTACCTATGGGCTTAGATCTTCTTTTTCTAGTTCCATGAGGTGTATATTAGGTTGTTTATTTGAGATCTCTCTTTTTTCTTAATGTAGGCTATCAGCTTCTGTTTTAGACCTGCTTTTGTTACATCCCATAAGTTTGGGTATGTTCTGTTTCCATTTTCATTTGTCTCAAAATTTAAAAAAAGTTTCTTTTGCCTTCTTCTTTGAACCAATGGTTGTTTAGGGGCATGTTGTTCGATTTCCATATATTTGTGAATTTTCCAGCTTTCTTCTTGTTATAGACTTCTAGTTTTATACCAGGTTGGTTAGAAAAGAGGCCTGATGTGACTTCAATATTTTAAAATGTGTTATGACTTGTCTTGTGGCCTACCACATGATCTATCCTGGAGAATGTTTCATGTGTGCATTCTGCTTCTGTTGGATGGAATTCTGTAAACATCTGTTAAACACATCTGGTCTAACATATAGTTACATCCAGTATATCCTTACTGATTTTCTGTCTGGATGACCTATCTATTGTTGACAGTGGTGTACTGGAGTCCTCTATTGTTGTGATGCTATTTGTTTCTCCCTTCCATTCTGGTAATACTTGCTTTATATATTTAGGTGCTACTACTTCAGGTGCATGAACATTTACAGATGCTATGTTCCCTTGATTAACTGACCCTTTTATCGTTAGAAATGATTCTTATGTTCAAAGTCAATATTAAGTTCATATACTAAAAGAATTACTTACCTTTAAGAGCTTCACAGTGTTTTTTAATTGCTACAGGTGTCAAATGCAGAAAATTGGGAATCTAAAACGGAGAAATTCAAAGGATAAATTAGCCTATGTCTCGACAACATAAAAAAGAGAACTTTTTTCCTATAACTAAGTTCTAGCCCAATGAACTTTGTAATAAATAAAATCTAGTTTTTACAATATTACTTCTGTGTCACGTGTGTTGTGAATTCAGGAAATGAATTCCTTGAAATATAGATTCATGATGCATCTTATGATGACGATGGGGAGAAATAATTGTTGTTTTTATAACTCTTCCTGCCACAAATCTATAGATATACATATTTTCCTTATAAAATTAGAAGGACTTAAGAACACACATTATTACTTGGTAATCCTAATTCCCCTGGAATATACAGCACAGTGCTATATTTTCCACTTTGTACTAAACAGACATTTTATGAAGTGAATAAATGAAGCTAGCATATCTTAAGAGTTTAATGAAATACAGAATACATTTATGATGATATATTAAGAGGTCATTCACAGGGCCAATGGAAATTTAGGAAACATCAAAGATATGATTCCTTCAAATAAATAATTAAGATTTCTTGGGGCGCCTGGGTGGCTTAGTCGGTTAAGCGTCCGACTTTCGCTTAGGTCATGATCTCGCGGTTCGTGGGCTCGAGCCCCGCGTCGGGCTCTGTGCTGACTGCCAGCTCAGAGCCTGGAGCCTGTTTCAGAGTCTGTGTCTCCCTCTCTCTGACCCTCCCCTGTTCACGCTGTCTATCTCTCTCTCTCCTAGAAATAAATAAAAATTAAAAAAAAAAAAAAAAAGAAAGAAAGAAAGAAGATTTCTTAGCATATTTCTTAAATAATGTTAAGCATCTAAAGTGAAAATTAGGTTTTAAAGAAACTCATTTGGACACAAAATTTGAACAAGTAGAAATTTACTCCAAATATTATGCTTGGAATCTTGAGTGCTGATCAGAAATGTTTATTTTAATTAAGATAAAATAGACAATGCAAATGGAAATTATGGGTTAAGTGACTTTATTTTCTATACCTTTATTTTTGAAAAATAAAAACATAGCCGCTTAAAATCATAGAAGTATAAAAATAGCTAATGTGTACATAGAATTTATGTTGGCACAGCTTTATGTACTCCGCATATATTAGCTTGGTTAATAAGCTTATCCAATAGCACTCTCTAGAAATATATCACATCATTGGACTAACAATTTATATCATTGACTCTTTTTTATATATACAGTTCATTTATTTATTTTGAGAGTATGCACGCATGCATGTGTGCAAAAGAGAGAATGGGAGAAGGACAGAGAGAGAGGGAGAGAGAGAGAATCTCAAGCAGGCTCTGCACCATTAGCGTGGAGCCTGATGTGGGGCTTGAATTTACAAATCGTGAAATCACGACCTGAGCCAAAATCAAGAGTCAGACACAACCAACTGAGCTACCCAGGCACCCCTATATACCTGATTCTTAAAAAGGATGGCATGCATTAAATCACTAGATTTTTATGTTTATTAAAATACCATTCACAACTATTAGCATTAGTACAGATACCTTCCTAGCCTCTCTGAACAGAGTGATATTTTCCAAAGACCTTTTCTTTAAATTAAGTTCTCTTCTTTCATTTGAAGAAAAGGTTAGTTTCCTCAATGTCTGTTTTCTTATATCTCCTGTAACATTCACATTTCCAAGCTTCATTTACCCATCTCTAGCAGGAGACAACTCCTCCATGTTACCATTTCATTTTTTACCATCACCTTTTAGCAAAAAAAAAATTTTTTCTCAAGACTCTCATATATATGCTAAGTGAATAAGTCAGAAAAAGACAAATACCATACGATTTCACATATGTGTGGAATCTAAAAAACAAACAAAAAGCCAAAACAGACCCATAAATACAGAGGACAAACTGATGACTGCCAGAGGGAAGAGGAATGGAGAGATGAGAGAAATGGGTGAAGGGTGGGGTGGGAGACACAGGCTTCCACTATGGAATAAATAAGTCATAGGGCTAAAAGGTAGAGAACAGTAAATGTACTCCATGGTACTGTAATACTGTTGTACGATGGCACATGGTAGCTACAGTTGTGGTGAGAACAGTGTAACACACAGATTGTGGGATTGCTATGTTTAATGTAACAGGGTGTGTCAACTACACTTCAGTAAAAGAAAAAAAAAAGACTCTCATATAGTGGAAAATACAGTTTGCCAATGACTACTGTGTGTAACAGGAACCATCTAAAATAGGCATTCTCAGGCTAAGCATATTCATATTTTCTTTTAAAAAGCATATACTTCATAAATCATTATAGATGTAACCAACTGAAGCATTTAATATGATGTATTTTGTTTTAAGAAATAAAGAAGCTTAAAGACTATAATAGTACTAAATAATATTTTACCTTTTTGGATAGAAAATTTTTAAATCTCTCTTTTAAAAGATTTCAGGGGTGTCTGGGTTACTCAGTTGGTTAAACATCCGACATCAGCTCAGGTCATGATCTCGCGGTTCATTGAGTTTGAGCCCTGCACTGGCTGTGCTGATAGCTCACAGCCTGGATCCTGCTTCAGATTCTGGTCTCTCTCTTTCTCTGCCCCTCCCCCGCTTGCTCGCTCTCTCTCTCAAAATAAATAAACATTAAAAAAAAAAAAAAGTAGATTTCAGTCCCCTATTCTCCTTCTCAAATTAGGTTATTTCACTTTCGTTGGTTCCACTTATAAGCTACAAGTCCAAAAAGATATAACAGAAAAGAAAAAGCTAAAAGGAAAGCCACTGGATGAATTAATTACATTCTTAAATGCCTAGGATTCTTTGAATCTTCTTTACCATGGGTAATCAGAATGTATCATCAATTATTAATTGAAAAAAAGATTTAAACTAAAATACAGTAAGCTGCCACATACTGAACCTTGAAGTACAAGACAGGGTAGGTATGGGAAGAGGATCAGCATTTATTTAGGTATAAGCGTTAGTCAACGAAACAGCAACTTATCTTACCTTTAAAAGTTCTAGATTTCCCTCCTTTGCCATGGGCACCCCCCTTTTAACTGGATAACCCATTCGGACAGGAAGAGGAACAGCAGAAGGTTTAAATGGTGCTGCAACAGGATAAACACTGGGCCAGTCCAGGTCAGCAGTCATTTTCTCTGTCCTAGGAGGTAATGCCTACGGAATATAAAAGAGTTAAATCTTTTAAATCTGAACATGGTCTTCAATCTTTCAGCAAAAAACCTGCGGTTAAGAGAAACATAAGCAGAATTGCTTCTGTCATAAAATTTGACCTCTTACAGAGCTGCTGCTATTCAAATGAAAAAACACCAAACCTATCTAATATTTTTGCAGTTTCTACAAACCCTCTGGCAAGGATTCCCTTTAATAGCACATGATGTTCTTCACTAAAAATTTCTTTCTATAAATTTTCTTAGATGTTTAGCAAAGTATTAACATTTTGTTTGTGAAAGAGTAACAATATATTTTTCTTTTTCTTTTTTTAATTTTTTTTTTTTAAAGAGAGAGACAGAGTATGAGCAGGGGAGGGGCAGAGAGAGAGAGGGAGACAGAATCTTAAGTCTACTCCAGGCTCTGAGCTGTCAGCACAGAGCCTGACATGCGGCTCAAACCCACAAGCTGTGAGATTATGACTTGAGCTGAAGTCGGATGCTTAACTGACTGAGCCACCCAGGTGCCCCAAGAATAACAATATATTTTGAAATATACATCTTCCTCAACTTACAATGGGTTAATGTCTTGATAAACCCATCTTAAGTTGAAAACACCATAAGTCAAAAATGCATTTTTTTTTTTTGTCAAAAATGCATTTAATACACCTAACCTACCTAGCAAGCTTAGCCTAGCCTGTTTTAAATGTGCTCAGAACACTTAAGCCTATATTTGGATAAAATCATTTAACACAGGGCCTACTTGATAATAAAGCATTGAATATGTCAGACAATGTATTGAACACTGTACTGCAAGTGAAAAAAAGAATGGTCATATGGGTACAGAATGGTGGGCAAGTGCACTGGGTACTTACGCTCATGACTGTGTGGCTGACAGGGAGCTATGGCCACTGCCACGGCCTAGCATCACAAAAGTTTCGTACCATATAATGTTAGCCCAGGGAAAGATCAAAATTCAAAATTCCAAGTACAGTTTCTACTGAATGTGCACTGATTTCCACCACCATAAAGTTGAAAAACCGTAAGCTGGACCGTGATAAGCGGGTGACAGTCTACAGTTTTTAGAACTTCTCTGATGGAAGTCAGGACATGCAGGGACACCCAAAATATGGTAATAAAGGACATACGAAATGAATAACAAGAACTTGGAAAGAAGTAAATTAGGGTTAAACCAACTGAATGAATACATAATGAGAAATTATGACTCCTGTTCCAGAGAATAGCTATGTGATAGTTTATTCAATCACATTAACATACACATATTTTTTTAAAAACTGTACTCATTAGAAGGGGATGGCCAGCATACATAAGTTGAGTTTAAAGAAGCAAATTTTGGCAATGCCCAACAAAGCAGTATCAAAACGAGTGTAGTGTATGTCCTGGAAGCAGGGAATATTCCTGTGAAAATAACTACTCTAGATAATTAAAATTTGGTGCCATTTAACTTTCATCAAATAATACGCCTCTGTTCTGACTCCACACTCAGCAAGTGACCTAATACTTTGGATTCTTCCATAAAGATGTCTACAGGATGAAACCAAACTGGTTAGATTAATACACACATCCCAGGCTTCATGATTATTAAAGGCATCATCAAAAATTATTCTACATTCTAGTTTATATACCTATTTCCTGGGAGTATATGAGTGAGCTCACCTCTCAAAGATGATCCATTCTCAGGGTACTGACAAAAACCAGTTGAAGACTACAGCCAAGGCTCTGGCAGTCACCAGGTAAACCATCCCCTGTGAAAGCCTTCTTGGGCAGCACTCTTCTGCCTCATCATGAATATCTGCCTCACCTTAGAACTTCCGAAACCATTATGATAGTATATAGTAGAGTACATTAATTGTTTACCTTTCTTCTCAGTAGTCTTTCATATCTGGATGTTCTGCCTGCTGTACCTAAAAGACAACATAATAGTTACAGAGAACTCTATAATGTAGGCTTGTTCAGCACTGATGATGATCCTATAACTCTCAGATAACTTCAGGTATTCAGTAATACAAAAATGAAACACGAATCCATTTTCTGAGCTGTGGGACTAACACATCTTAATGAAAATGAAAAGTCAGAAATAGTTAAGAAAATTCCAAAGTTATTTAAATATAAAGTGTATTGTGACTGATGACATAGTGAGTTTATCTTCTAATGAAATATTTTCAATAAATTCTAAAGTCATAGTCAAATAAACTTACTTTCCCAAGTTAAAACATCTAGTTAGAAATAACTATGTTGCATCTTTAAAGACAATCGTATTGAAAAGAACTTTTTTAATGTTTATTATTTTAAGAGACAGAGCATGAGCAGGGGAGGGCCAGAGACAGAGGGGGACAGAATACGAAGCAGGCACCAGGCTCTGAGCTGTCAGCACAGAGCCCAATGCAGGGCTCGAACTCACAGACCACAAGATCATGACCTGAGCCAAAGTTAGATGCTTAACCAGTGAAGCCACCCAGGCCCCCTCAGAACTGCCAATAATAACAAAACTCATAGCCATTCCTAATAAATCACATAACTGTAGAGAAGGGCGAATTACATACATACAGTATACAGCTTTCAAAATATTACCTTATGCCTCTCTAAATAAATGTTTTGCTACATTAAAGTAATAATGGCTCTAATTATTCAACACTTTCATATGCCACACACCGTGCTACATGCTTTTCACTCTCATCTCATTTAATCTTATTGTTCACAATAACTTATTATTATCCTTATTTAGAGGCCATTTAGAGACAAAACTAAGGATCAAAGAGTCAGGGTGACAATAGCAGAGAACACAAGACTCTTCACACTCCAAACCACTTCTATCTCTAACTTCATCTCCCTTCACAAGGTCCCACAGCTACACCAGTACCAGACCCTTTCTTTGGACTTTCTCCAAATTTAATGTTCTCTCTGCCTAGAATGTGCCTCCTTTCCCTCTCTCTGGCTTCTGTCCCCTCTCCCCTCCCCATCTCATTTCTTCATCTGACAAATTCTTTTTTTTTAATGTTTATTTATTTTAGAGAGAGAGACAGATTGTGAGACAGATCGTGACCAGGGGAGGGGCAGAGAGAGAATCTGAAGCAGCCTCCAGGTTCTGAGCTGTCAGCAGAGACTGACATGGGGGGCTCGAACTTGTGAACTGTGAGATCATGACCTGAGCCGAAATCGGACGCTTCACCAACTGAGCCACCCAGGCGCCCCTTCATCCAACAAATTCTTATTCATCCTGTAATAGTAACTCATTCATTCATTCAAAAATCATTTCAGTGATATTGTGGACCAGAAACTGAGAAAGCAGCAATGAGCAAGAGAAACACAGGGCCTGCTCTGACGGAATGTAGAGTTTGCCAAATAAGATAACTGTTAATCAAGTAATTTCAACAAAGTCATAAATATTAATAGCAACATATAGCAGGGGACCAAACGTAGTGAATTAGTTGGGGGAAATCTCCCTGAAGAACTGGACTATAAGCTAAAAACCTAAAGGATGAGCAGGAGGTAACCCTGGGAACAGGCAAGCGAGAAAAAGTATTCTGTGGAGGAAGAGGAAATGGAAACTCAATGTTAAAAAGTCCAATATGGCTGAAACTTAAGAACTCAACAGAAAATACACTGAGAAAAGAGGGTGGAAATATTTAACAGGCACCTCGACTGTAACACATCATTGACAGAGCTCTTGATTTCTTCTTCCAGTCTTCCCAATCCCTGTAAATGATATCTCCATTCATCCAATTGCTTGGCACATGCTTCCAGAGCCTTTTCCTCATGCCCCACATCAAATCCACCATTAAGTCCTCTTAGCTATACCTTCAAAATGTACCCCACCTCCAACCACACCACCTTCCCTGCTGTTACCTCATTCTAACTCACCATCATTTCATTTGGACTACTGCAATAGCTTCCAAACTGATCTCCTGGATTCCACTCTTTCCCCCCTTCCCAAAGCTGAGTCTCCACACAGCAATCAGTGATCTTTTATGAAGTACACTGTATCACTTCTGTGTTCAAAACCTTCCAGCTCAATTCCAAACTTATAATAAAATCCAAGCCAAATGCCTAAAAGCCTTTGTGAGACCAGATCATTACTTACCAGTCTCCTGTGTTCACTCACCTCCAGACTGACTTTCTTTCTGATCCTTGGTCTCACCTCTAAGCTCATTTTCATTCCTGGGCCTTTGCACTTGTGGTCCCCCCCCCCCCCCCCCCCCCCCCCCCCCCC